ATTTTAGTGCATTTAATCTATTAAATAACAGCAGAGTGAGCGAGTTTTTGGATATGGTAAGATTAAACTTATTTTAGTGAATAAAGTAGCCTACCACATTTCAGCTTTGTTAGGGTGGGTACACAAAATTTTATTTTATCCTTGCTTCTAGAAAATCCTCACATGCTTTCTAACAGCTGCTTGTGACCGTAAACATTTAATTTTAACGAGGTTTTAAGCACTATGCATCGTTAAAAGTTTCACTTTCACCGTGACTAAGCCGGTAAATGTGGTGTTTACATGGAATAATCATATGATTTTACCTTATGGTCCGAACCCAGAGTCTTCGCATCAGTAAGCGATAAAACGAGCATCTTCTATCCGAAGACTTGTGTTGCATTTCGGGGCAAAGCAAAAAAAACAACAACAATATAAAATGCGGTAAATAAAATGCGGGAAACTATTAATTGGTTATTTTACAATTAATTTTATTACAAATTATACTACGACTGGAAAATACTGGAAATTGATAAACTGTTCAGCGTGATGACGTTTAGTGTCTCCGACAGCGCCTGTAGTCCCATTTAGCAACTTGTTAGCAACCGTCTTTTTTAAGAAACGTAACAGTTTAAAAAAATCACGAGTGGGGTGTAACTGGTGTGTTTTATGTCGTAGAATAAACCGTGAAAGTATCTTGAGCTTGTGTGAACCACGGACCTTATTTTAGGGGATTTAACCAAACTCCCATTCAAAAAACCCACTGACTCAGGGACGATGGAACCGGAAGTGCTAAAATGCTTATTTAGCTATTCTAACTGCGCTTATTTCCGTCGTTGGTATAAGTGGCAGTGGGTGGTAATAGACTAGAAATTTACAGTTTTATACCATCGTGCTGACAACGTTTCTTTAGTCATTCGGCAATCCTACAGCCTGAACCACTGTAAGAAAACCATCCTTACATTATTTTAGGGATTTAACCAAAATTCCATTAAAAAAACCCATTGACTCTGGGACGATGGAACCGGAAGTGCTAAAATGCTAACTCGCTTCCGGGTTTTTGCCTACAAACGGCTCTGAATTGACCTATCGGTAAGCCCCGCCCCCCTTAGTTACTGTTGCTCCCTCGGACAAACAAACGGAGTTGCTCACTGTCTCACAATGACAGCTGTCAGCGTGAAAACCTTGTCCCACTATGTTTTTGCACAATTTTGGACACAGAAGAGCCACCATTCAAGTGGGAATTATATATTCCATGGAGGGATATATATAAAAGATTTTAAAATAAATATGGTGGGTAACTCGAAGCGAGGGTTTACTGATCACAACGCAAGCGGGAGAAGTCTCATATTACGGTCAGTCGTCACGATTGCGGATGACAACATGCAGGATCAACAGTGTTCATGCATTGCAGGGTATGATTAAATTAATGTACATTTAACTAGTTTAATATGGAGAGGCGCTGAACTGTAGACCTTCGTTTATGTGTTTTTGACTTACACTGTACATGATGTGAGAACAGTTCGCTATTTAGGTTTGTAATAGCATGGACTCACTAACTTTAACGTTAGCTGTCTTTAGCCAAGGATAACGTACCTTGCTGAAACGCAAGATGAGCATGCTTGAGCAGATGAAAAGTGTAACTTAATGAGAGTATGACAACCAGAAATTGAACGTTTTTTTCTTCATTGGGATTGGGGTTGAATGCTTAGGGACATTTTGCTTGGTTTTGTTTGGGTTTAGGAAATGCAATAAAATAAATTCTATTGCCCATCCTCTCAGGATACCTGGAATCAGTGTTACAAGTACCACAGGCACATCGTTTTTCCATTTTTGTAGCATTTGTAGTGTTTTGAGAGACTGGTCCTCTCCCACCTGAAAACACGCTTGCCCCCAACACTGGACCCATACCAGTTCACCTACAAATCCAACAGGTCAACCGAGGATGCCATCGCGTCAGCTCTCCACTCTGCCTTGACGCACCTGGACAGAACCAACACATATGTCAGGATGCTATTCATTGATTTCAGTTCCGCCTTCAATACTGTGATCCCATCCAAGCTGATCTCCAAGCTCTGTGATCTTGGCATCAGCCCCTCCCTCTGTAACTGGACCCTGGACTTTCTCACCAACAGACCACAGTCTGTTAGGATCAGTAACCACACCTCCTCCGTCCTCACTTTAAACACTGGGGTACCACAGGGCTGTGTGCTGAGCC